TTTTAGAAAGGTGGCTGTTGTTTGACTCAAGTTCATCGACCTTGTCCATCGCTGATCGTAACTATTGGGTCATATGGGAGACAGAGAATTGACAGCAATTAAAACAGAGCCTCTTAAATAAGCGAGCATGTCTTTACTGCAGCATAAAGTTCAGTTCAGACCAAAGATTCACGATGAGATGGAACCATTTCAGAACGTTGACGAGAAAAGTTGCCGCTGTGTAAGCTGAGCGGTCTCAGCTCAAGCCAGCTGATGCCTTTTAGTGACTCAGCTTGTTAAATCTGCAGTGGCTGGTTTTAGAGCATAAGGCACGTCACCAGCTTCAGCAGTCAGCTGGCCAAGTCAGTTACAAACTGTCAGCTGGTCAAAATGGCATTTTGTACGCAGGAAAAGACAGGATCACCTCATCAATTTGTTTGAGGGACAGCATTGTCTGTATGACACAAGCTTTAAAATGTACTCGAATGAAGAGCACCCATAGACAGCTCCAAATTCTCCTACTCATTTTTTATAGTATCGCTGTTTCATCAATAAAATCAACTGGGGGCATCCTGGTAGCTCACCCGGTAGAGCTGGTACTCTATCTGCCACTATGTGAGTCCTTGCTGCAGGAGCTATGTGTTCGAATCCGACCTGCGGCCCTTTGCTGCGAGTCATCCACCTTCTCTCTCCCCCCTTTCCTGTCACTCTTCAGCTGTCACTACCAATTAAAGGCAATAAAATGCCACTGTAGCCAGTAACTCACTATCTCCATTCATACTGGAGTACAGAGTTGTTGCTATGCAGATGATACATGAGTGTCAACCCGTCTTTGGTCTAAACTTGGCTTAAGAAAAAAACGCTTTACCTCTCTCTGTAGTTTCCGTTTCTCTGCCTTCAGCTCATCCTCCACTTTCTCTGCGTTCTCGGCTGCAGACTTGTAGCGCGTCACCTGACCCTCGAGTCTGGTCACCTGGAAACGAGAAAATAATAAAAAAAAAATAAACTTCTTAAGTGAGAATGTCGTCGTATTTTTAGGTATGCTATGAATTTGTTATTCCTCAGCTTACATTTTGTTCCAAAGCCGTGACTTCTTGCTCAGCCTTCACCAGTTTGAACTTCAAGTCACTTATTTGTCTGTTTGAATCTCCTGTAAAGATTTAGCAAAGGCAGATATTCTTGAGTTGCAAGAGACAAAATAGCGAACTGCACCTGGTTCTGTTCATGCATTTGGATACTGACTCTGCAGTTCTAATATGTTTGGATCGTTGCCGTTTTCAAGAATTTCACCATCTGGGCTTGAAGTGTTCTCTGTGCCATTCCTCTGTGTCTTCTGATCCAGCTGGGCCTTTAATTTCTTGACCTGTAGAGGGAGCCACAACACATCAGCTGATGAATGACAGACACTCCATGAGGAACACCATGAGGAACATATGACTGCTCACACTCAAGTTCTCAGCTGAGGATTTTTTTATGCATGTTTCACTAATGCTGGCCACCTCCAATTTATGTAGGTAATGATATTATATGCAAGGTTTCTGCAGGTTTCAACAGGTTAAATTTAAGACTTGTTCAGACCATTATGCAATGCAGTTTAAGACCTATTTTATGAAAGCAAATCGTATTGGTTCTATGTTGGTTTCATTTTGTAGTTTCAGCACATTTAAAAACAGAACTGAAGCAACATTAACTTCATTAATACAACAAAATCATATTTAAAAACATTTCAAGGCCTAAAATTCAGATTATTGGATTTTAGACTTCCCACAGAAACCATGTATATAATATATTTATATGATAGAAAATATTGCAAGTGTTTCAAAGGATTTTAAGGCATTATTCTCATTTCTTATAGTCAACAAATCCAGTGAAAAGACCAAATTTGATGGAAGAATTTGGAGATACCAACAGCACTGTCTCAGATCATTCATGAATCACTGACCCACCTGCTCTATCATTTTTTCACGCTCATCCACCAGTTTCCTCAAGCGAATCTCTGAAAGATAAAGCACATGTTTGAGAAGACAAAAATAATGTCTCATTTGACATCTGAATCTTGGTCACAAATGATTAATTTAAAAAGGATCGTCATGCATCGCCAGGCCACAATACAACACCAATTCCAACAATAATCATAACTGCTACGGTCCATCTTTAAAAAGAAAAAAATAAGTTAACATACCAGGGGTGGGAGGAGCCAAGGAGGTGATGGGAGGGGGGCTGGGTCGGGGTGGGAGGTTGATGCATGCAACAGAGCAGGCATCCGTGGGGTAGTGATGGAGCGGAGTGTGAGGGGGGGAGGTTAGCATGCACAAACTGTGGAGAAGAGGGTCAATGCAAGAGCACACAGCTGGTAGGACTACATTCACACAGTAAGTTAAAATTTGCTGTGTAAATGTAAAAAGTGTAAATGTGCTGTCTGAAAAGGATGGTAGAAACTCTTCTTGCCAAGAGCTCACATTTCTTTTCATGAGGTTACTCAAGGAATTCCATTACAAAAATGCATTTAGATCAACATTTCAGAAGTGGTAACAGCAGTATTTATTGGCATTTCAGTGTGGATGTAGCACATTCATCTTTTCCAAAGTGCAACAAAATGCAAACATACATTAATCATATATTGTCTGTGCTTTAGAATTCAAATTCAGACTCCTTGTGGATGGAAATGTCTTTAAGTCAAAAAGAAGACAATTCTTATTAATCCCAGAGAACAGAACAGGGTCTTTTTTCCTTTTTAACCATCAACATTACAGCCAGGACATGTAAAAGTATTACCACTTAACATTTGTGTTTTTTAATTTGACACCTGAAATGAATACATGAATGCGTTCTGGTGAATGCAGCATGAGAAAATGTGATACATCTGCAGAGCAATATTAACCACGACACATTACAAGCAGCATGATAAATGTGCATCAATAGCAAAATATAGCAAGTGCAATATTGTCCAATAGTAAAAATCCACTGTTACCAAACTGTTTATATTCTCATTTCTCCACAAATATTATTTTTTCCACATATGACCTCAATGATTACTCATGTTTGGTCCTTGGACTGTTCATATGGATTAATTAGAAGAATATACATACTTACACCAATATTCATTTGTGAAAGAAAGTGTTCTAAGGTTCTGCACATACGTTTTCTACCACTTTGTAAACAGCTAAGCAAATACTAGTGAAGGGAAGATCATGAGATATATATGTGTATTATATACCATCTATAAGCTAAGACATCTTACAGTCCTCTTTGCCCTTGGCTTTGCCTTTCTTGCTGTTCTTCTTCATGTCTTTCCCTGTCTGCGGTGGCTCTTTAGTGCTTGCCACTTGGTCTGCACTCTTTGGTAAAACCAAACCTTCACCCTGCAACTCATGCTCAATGGCATCTAACCCTTCATCTACAGGTAAAGACGTTGCCTGATTAATGTTCTCTGCAGCAACACCCGAATCTCCGACATTCAACACCTTGCCCTCCTCTTTAATGTGCCTGGGCTCATCTGCTACTTCTTCCTCAGGTAAGTTTTTCTGCTTTTCACACACATTTTCATTTTCAGGTGTGGCTTCCTCATGAGGCACAGAATCTGTCTTTTTATCTAGTGTATCTTCCTGCTTGCCCCCATCAACCGTACACTTCTCGTCATTGTTTTCAACTGGCTTGTCTTGTGTATTTTCATTTGACTCTGTATTACTTTGGTTCAGCCCTGAACTACCACTGATGCATTCGTCTGACATGACTTCAACTCCCTCCTCAACTTCTTCCTGTTTAGGGAGATTTGTCTCTATAGCCACCTCCACATCCATGTCATCAAAATCAAAAGACTGCCCTTCCTCGTCTTCCCCATCCTCTTCATTACTTTCCTGCAGAGTGGGTTGACATGAATCATTATCCTCAGATTTGTCTTTGCTGGTTTCTTCCAAAGGACAAACATGTATCTCACTTTGCTGGTCATTTTGACTGTTTTTATGTTCTGGATCTTCTGCGACAGCTGATTCTTCAGTACTGTGGTCCTGCTCGACAGAACGCCCACTTTCAGTAGCTTCTTTTGGAGAGTCTGGTGTATTTACCATGACAATGGTATTGATCTCTTCTGTTTCAGAAGACACTTCAGCATTTGATTCAGCAATCTGATTATCTGGCTGGCTTTCTACCTCATCCAATTGTTCGGACTGCGTTGCCAACAGACATTTTTCAGTGTCAAGTGGATCACTGTTTTTCGTTAATGATGCACTGTCACTTTTTTCTTCCTGTGAGGAGCTGTCTGGCTCAGCTACACTTTCAGGTTCCCTCAAGTCTCCGTTCAACTCCTCCTTTTCTGTTCTGTCAGGTTTTAGCTCTGAATTATCCCCATCTTGACTGGGTAAAAGGGATTCTTGTTTGGTGTCTGCTCCTGGCTCCTCATCATCTTTGATAACCTCAGTTGCCTCCTCGGGATCAGGATCAGAGTCCTTGATGGGAGTGTTGTCACTGACTGAGTTCACAGACAGCTCAGAAGGCAGCTCTGAGCCAGACAAGCTCTTGAGACCGTCTTCATTGGTCGCCGGTGTGTTATCCATACTCTCAATATTGTTTGAGGATTCAGATTCATCGACAGCAATGTCATCATTGCTTGGAACATGTGACTCAGCTTCAGTGTTTTCCTTATCGGTGCTTTCAGGGTAAGATGCGCATTCAGATTTCACCTCCTCAATAGACCCTTCAACCTCTGCACTATGAACAATATCTGACTCAGTGTGGATGACATTGCCATTAGTTGAGATGTCTGTTCCACTTTTAGAGTTCTCTTCACTGGAAGTACACACTTTGTCAAAACCATCAGTGTTCTCGGCAACTTTGTCGTCACTAATGTCAGAAGTACTGAGATTGGTCTCTGGAACAGGACTTGTTTTAGATTCCGTATCTTCTGCTTTCTCGGTTTCTAAAGTTTGTTCCTCTCCTTGCTCATCCTTTTTGGCATCTGTACTGGATTCCTTGAGAGTTTCAATGCAAGAAAAGGTTTCAGTGGATGCAACTGCCTCCACCACTTCTACTGTTACAGCTTCCAAAGTTTGTTCCTCATCTTGCTCATCCTTTTTGGGATCTGTACTGGATTCCTTGAGAGTTTCATCGCAAGAAAAGGTTTCAGAGGGAGCCAATGCCTCCACCGTTTCTACTGTTTCAGCTTCCAAAGTTTGTTCCTCTTTCTGTTCATCCGTAACATGATCCACTGTTATTTCCTTGGGACTTGCAATGTGAGAAACGGTTTCAGTAGTTGTCATGGCTTCTACTTCAATTATGTTGTTCGTTTCCAAAATTTGTTCCTTGTCGTGCTCATCTGTAACATGATCCATTATTGGTTCTTTTAGAGTTTCATTGTGAGAAAAGGATTCAGTGGGTTTCACCGCTTCTACTTGATCAACCTCCTCAGTTTCTTGCTTGTCCTGTTCATTTTTAACTTGATCCACCCTTGATTCTTTGAGGGTTTCAGTGACAGAATCATCCAGATCAGGTTTTGTCATTGGCCCATTACCTCTTGTAGCTGATTCTTTTTCCAAGTCTTTTTCTGTTTTGCCTTGATCTTTTCCATCTTTTTGTTGGTTCTTATCCTCATGTGTTCCTCCTTTCTTTTTACCTCTCTTCTTCTTTCTCCTCTTTTTACCTGAAGCAGGAGTACCCTGAGGCTGAGGTTTACTTGGTATTTCCTCTGCCTCGTCATTGTCTGCCTCTTCGGCGTTCTCAGGCTCTTGTTGAGGTTCGGTGTTTGATACAGCTGGGACTGACTCATCAGGTAAACTTTCTTTCATAATATCTTGGGTGACTTTTTGCTGATGACATGATTCTGTATTTCTCAAATTACTTTCCTCAACATCTTTCTGTTTGTTTCCTTGCTCTTCAAAAATGTCATTACATGACTCTCTAATATCATCACTGTGGGTATTGACGTTACTGCTTTTAGTTTCGCTCTCCCCTAAATCTGAATTACTTGTCTCTCCTAAATCTCTCCCCTCAGGCGTTTCTGTCTCTGGAACATTTTCCTCAGAACTTGTTACAATCCCTTGAGGCTCAGAACTGCAAATGATTATATCTTTGGCTTCTGTGATTGAACCATCATTAATGTCAACATCTAAGTCATTGCTGGGGCCACTTCCGTCAACATTGTCTTCTTCTGTGGCTAAGCATGTCTGTTGTACTTCTGTTGGCTGTTCTTCGCTAGGTGTTTCGATTGTGGCCATGCTGGCAACATTACAGAGTATATCAGAGCTCAAGTGATTCTCATTGGCTTCCTCAAACATTTCTTGATGCTGTTCCAGATCCACCTCTTCCTCTCCGTTACTTCTAGACTGAGTCTTCTGTGTGTTGCCTGAGAGATCATGAAGAGCATACGATGATAGAGGGCCAATGTTGATTTAAGACATGATTTTCAAAAACTGTAATCTTCATAAGGAGGCAGCAGAGGTCAAGGTAAAGCAGAACACCTGATTGATTCAGTGGCCAGAAAGAGATGCACAGAGCCAAGACGACCAAGAGAAGCACAAGAAGAACAAGAAGAAGAAAGGCAGGAGGAACATCGAAATGGAAGTTCTTCATCCCCAGAACATCAGTGTGACAAGACAAGAAGCCTGAAGCCGGCAGCTCAAAGGAACAGTATACATAAACAGTATATATACTCAATATAATATAAACTAATTTTAAACAAACAAAAAACCTCTCAAATGCTTTATACCATCAACCTTGTAGAGATCTTTCAGCATTTAAACACCAACACCACCTGCATTAGTTGTGATTCAGAACCAATGTGTATTAGCTAAAATGATGATAAAGGTGCAAAAGAAACATTTAAAAAAGCCAAAAACATTAGTAATAAACATAAAGCAAGGCGTGTGCTGAGTTTGTAAGTGTAATATTAGTTTTTACAGGGAAGCAAGATGTTGCTTAAAGGATAAGGCTGGTGTTTCTCTTTATTTTTCTTGTTGTCAACAAATTCCATGAACAGACCAAAACAAACTAACCATGCATTGGTCTGTCTCTCACTACTTTCCTACTCTGTCTATAGTCCTAAGCTACAAGCCTGTTGGTTCCTACGTACATTTTACAAGCACAAAATGTTATTTTAAAAAAATTCTATTTTCAGCTGCACTTTAATACACATTTAGTGCACTGTGAGTATATATGTATTAGAGTGTAGCTCACTGACAATGAGTTCTACATACAAATAAGATATGTCATGCTTTAGATACACTGACAATACTTGTTATAGGATAGGATCATTTCATTGTTGGTTTGGGTGTTTTCATTGAAATTGTTTACAATAACAAAAAGTTGACAAAACAATCTTGGAACAATGTCCATTTAGTAGTAAGACAATCTTCCTCAACAGAAAGAGTTTGTCCAAATGTTAAAATTTCCATTGTCCTGAGCACTTTCATGATTTTTGTCAACATTGGCTTAAAAGTTAGTCCAAGAACAGCACAATTGATCTTGTGGAGACATTTTCTTGTCACTTTCTGTTTCCAAGTTCTGTTTCAGTCTCAAGAAAAATATAGAAAATCACCAGATAAGGTCAGTGCAAATCAGAGTTAAAGTAACATATTCCTGGATCATCACACCAGGAACTAAAGATTTCACTCCAAAATTTAAACATTTGAAAATTCAGAGGTCAATGCATACGGAACATGTATATGCTCAGTATTAACGTTAATATTTTTATTGATTCATTTTCTGTTTTTGGAATGAAAGTCTTCAGTTTTATGCCAAGCCATGCAGTAAGAAGTTTTTATTCCATAATGTGTTTTACCGAGCATGCTGTTCCCCTCAACTGGGGAAGTCTGTGAATCCGGAGCCGGTTGGGAAGCAAGGTCTGCACTGGGGGACCCGTCAACTTCGGCCTCACCAATTTCTCCATTGATGTTTAGATCAGGTCCCAATACTATTCCATGTTTCTAGACAAAATAAAAAGTCAAACATTAGCTCCACAGATTACACACCTTGAAAATAAGTTGCAATATAATTATATTAGTATGTTTGGTCATATAACGTAATTTGTAAATTATTTTCTACCTTAAATAAACCATGATCCAGTTTTTCCTTTAGTTACAGTGACAACAATATTGAAAACTTTATTTTTACACTTCAGAGGTTCAAATTTGCTTCCCAAAACTACACACAGCAGACAGAAACAAGCATTCGCACACTGACTGAGTACCTTCAGAATGTCTTTCAGCTTCACAACCTCTTCTCTGAGGTCATCTCGCTCAATTCGGATTGCATCTGTGTATTCTTTCTGTCGCTCTAAGGCCTGAGCAGAGCCACCACGTGGCAGAGTGTGAAAGAAAGTGCAAAGTGTAGAGGAGGCGAAAAGAAGTGGAAGTTAAAGTTGGCGTTTAGTTTCATGCAAAGGAGATACTGAAGTCATGTCAGCAAAACTAAACGCTGAATGTGTTAAAGATAAACACAAAACTGCTGGACCAGGGCTCAGAGGCCGTACCCCAATTTTTTTATCCTTCCACTCCACCGTCTCCTGCAGGTCAGCTATTTCTCTGACAAAACCTTCCTGTTTGATCCGCAGCTGACGGATGTCCTACACAGCGGGAAAAGGAAATAACGTTTGGATATAGAGAGAGAAAGCAAAAAGAGAAAAGCAGTGCATGCGCATATTACGGTGTGTGAAAGAAAATAAAGCAGTGAAATGCAACATGCCCTTTCTAAGCCTGACAGAGTGGAGTAGTAAAGGCCCAGCGCTTCTCCTTTTGTACAATATGTCTTCTGGCAAGTCCCATTAGGAGGCGTCCCGGTTTCTGCACCCGTTTCACACTCTTAGTGACACGCAATTCCACACTTGGCACAAAAATACCATTACATTTAGGGGCAGCTCTTCACTTTTGTCTGCCTTTAGCCATCTCCTTCATTTACCACCTGAACTTGGAGACTGCAAGCCACGCTGTGGCAT